ATCTTTAACTATCTTCCTCTCGAATACTCAATCGAGGAGTATATCCAGTTCATCGAGGGTAGTTATTAATAACGACATGCGTTCATTAATAAAACTTACTATCGAGTCAATATAGAACAAGCGCCGTATATTAACTTGATAGTAGCAATAAACTTAAGATGAAAACGATTGAGATTGATAACCTCAACACAAGCGGTTTATTGGTTTAATCAATATAATTAATTCCCCTTGGCATATTAACCATGAGATGCATGCATTAATATTCCAAGTTTACTACCGTTGAAAGAACCGGATTAATAACAAGCGTATTAACCGATCGATTCTAGTAATAATTAATATGAGAAACAATACTAGTTGATACTTTAAGTAATGTTTAAGATATTAACATGAAATGTGAATGAGAATCAATTAATACTCAAGGAAGAATATTAAAGAAAATGAATCCTACTATGATTAATATCAAGATGTTAACTAATTGTCATCTTAGTAACACTCCCCAATATTAACATAGAGGGAGAAATAGCTATTACTATAACCAATGTCAAGATGTTAACTAATTGTCATCTTAGTAACACTCCCCAACTTTGATATAGAGATAGTATTTGAAAGGAAGAATTAATATTCAAGGAAGAAGATTAAAGAAAATAACTCACAACTTACAAATTCATTAAGCTTCAAAGTAGCAAAACCAAGATGGAAGAGTTTAGCTCCTCATTTGGAGACTAAACATGATGAAAAATATAAAGAAAGAGTTATTCTATACTGAGCTTAGATGTACAAAGGAATTGGATATCTTTTTGTGAAGGAAAGGAGGTGTATTTATAGGTTTTTGGGATGGGATTCGGGTACTCGATCGGGTATATACATGGTACCCGATCGAGTACGTGTGTAACACTCGATCCGAGGCATACTCGACCGGTTTCAGGCTATTTTCTAAGAGTATACCCGATCGAGTATATATGAATACCCGGTCGAGTATGCTTAGAAAATGGTATTCGGACCATACTCGACCGATCTTCATTAGAAATTCAAAGGCATACCCGATCGGGTATGTCGGTCTACCCGATAGGGTATAGACATAAAATCGTGGCCGAAATCTTCCCTGCATGTTCCCTTGTCTTCGGATCTGATCCGATTTGAAGTTCCAACCTAATACCCGATCGAGTATAGCTAATACTCGACCGAGTATAGACCAAAATTCAGGATCTTCTTTTGTCTTTGAACTTTTTGCACCTTCTTTCCACTTTTTGGGTTCACCAACTGTACTTCGAGTGATCCATACCTGTTTGAGCTCAGAATATATCTAATCTAACCTATTTACAAGAATTTAACAAACTAATCTATTACACCAAAAGTGTGTAATTTCCAAAGTAAAGGTCAAGCAAAACTAATTAAAAACACAAACATAAATATGGAAATTACGAACGTATCAAGGACATAGTGTACCATTTACTTAATCAATCATAAGGCCATGGCTAAACAAAAATTTAAATTGGCAGATTCAGCTTTTTTGTAGCATTTAATTCATCAATCATAAGGCCATGGCTAAAGAAAAATTTAAATTGGTAGATTCAGCTTTACTGCCCCAACAAAGTGCTCTGTGATCTTATTCTCTCTAGTGGTTAATCCTCTAAGCTTATTCATCTTTTAGAGCTGGCCAAATCAATCACTTCACAGTCACACTAATTCATCTTCTTGGTTCCTGAAATAGGGATTCATGTAGTATATGAAAAGGTGCTTTGCATTTGTCTAGCAAGGTGTAAGCCTCAACTTTATACATAACTCCCTTTACCATAAGTAATTACTAACAATCTAAAACGGATTATCAAACATACATAGAAAGCAAGTCATAATTATATATCATAAACTACTATCATATGCTTAAAGATTTAAAGATGTTTGTCCTGAATAGAATAAAAGATTTGTTTCAATGAAAAAAGAAGAAAAGTTGGTTGGAGGTAGTTTTATTATGGAGCAATTTGGATAAAAAGAAGTAAATTAAAGAATAATATTTCTTTTGCGTAAGTAGCATACGAAAAAGTTGTTTAATTACGGAAAAGGGGGAAATGGCTGTAAATAGTGATATAGTAATATTCTATTGTTAAATAAGTTGGTGTAGTTTGAACCTCACTAGAAATGAGGGAAGAACATATCAGTGGTAGTAGCCTTGCTACTTTGCAAGAAATGTTAGCAGTTCTGCAGGCGCGCATAGTAGTCCTTACATTACGTGAAATAAGTGAACTTTTTATATAGAGCTGTGTGCAGGGTAACTGATAATATCAGGAAATAAAATTTAGGTCTTTTGATGGGATTGGTGACTAATTAATTAAAATAAGAGTTGTGCTATAGGTACCCCTTTTGATGCTTGTGATGTGCATGCTAAAAAGAACAATCAAATAGACTAGTGAAGACTAATAGTTTATTAGGTGATCATTCTATATTGCTATTATGGTAATAATCTTGAAATTGCAGGTGTTAATTATAATATATGAGGTGTAACATTGCTGCTAAAACAAGATGGAGTTAAGTGATGGTGAATGTACATGATGGTCTTACCATTCAGGTGATTTAAGAATGTCTATCTACATAACCTATTGATTTTAGTCCTCCGATAATGGTGGTAATTGAGATATTGCTTCTTTTCTACTCCCAAAAATAATGTCTTACTGTTATCCATGTTTCCAGAATGTAATGATTCTTTGCATCAAGTACAAATGGGTTAGACATGCATTCTAATATATGTGTATCTCACTCAGGGTGAAGACATGACCAGAGATTACAAGAGAAATTGGTGACCTTAATTCTACAGATGCAGTTGACTTTCATAGCTTCTTTAACTTTGGCTTTCTTAATGTGTTAATCTCGCTTAATGTGTTAACTTGTTGGCTGGATGTACATATATACATGCTTTAAAATCTTTAAAATTGGGTAGTGTTTTGTTTAACATATCTTGTTGTTACATAAACTTTTAAGTTGCTACATTTTGTACAATTTGAAATTCACTGGAAGATGTTGTACTTTGGAATTGCTTGAGGCTTGTATATATTATGCATATGACGTTGGTAGGAATCTAACCGACGTTGAATCTGTTTTTTTTAAAGGTGCACTTATTACGACGGTTATTAAGAAAAACCGACGTACTACATATATATCAAAATTAGTTTTTACGACGGTTATTGAGAATAACCGACGTGATATATTTATTTAATTCGAAAAAAAATACTTTTCACGTCGGTTTCAGAACCGACGTGAAATGTTTACACCTATAACGTCTCTCACTTACACGTCACTTTCAAAACCGACGTGAAAGGGTCAAATTAACCGACGTTAAAAATCCATTGTCTAGTAGTGTACTTTATATAATTATATTATATAAAGATTAACATACATAACATTAATTAAGGTACAAACTCAGGGACTAAATGTTACTGATGGGAGTTATTCTTCTTCCTAATGTTGAGTGATTAGTGTACAAGAAAAAAACTATAAATGTACACGTGTAAATAAAAAAAAATTGAAGTAAAAATTTATTATAATTTTCTAAGGGAGTATTTTCAAAAGTAAAAAAAGACGCATATTAGCTTTTGCCTTCAAAAATTGAAATAAGTGCTTTAGGAAATCATGTACAAAGATAACTGATTTATCTTCTAATAGATAATCACATATAAAGTCAGTCCAATTTGTGTCAACAAACCCTAGTTTATGCTATGTATCTATCCTTTTTATAAAACTTAAAAGTATGCTTGAAGAAGTTCAAAACATTAGTCCTAACACTTAAATCATTTACAATTTAATATTATTATTATTATTGTGTATTGTCACATGTCAATTCGATCATGTCCACAATTTACTGATAAGCTGGTATTGTTTTTGTACAATCTCTTTAAATGAGATTGACAGTGTTCAAATTTCAATTATCCTAATACGTGTGGTTGGGAAGTATTGAATATAAACTTCATTTTATTTTTTTAATATAATTACAACATCTGGTTAATAATACTTTCACTTCTCTTATTTAGATATTTTTTTATATTTCGTTTTTTATTACCCAAAATTGTGTTATTATGCAAAACTTTAAATACAATATGACAAATAGTTAATAGGAAAATAAGGGAGTAAAAAAGGAACGGAATTGACTAAATAAAAAAAATATGGTAAGTGGAGAATTTATAAACAAAGAATCGCTCTTTGTCGTGAATTTTAGAAAAAACTCAAATTGATTCACGTGATTAATAGATTTCCACAATTCGTATGACTAAATATACACGTTTACATGACAAAAGTCTAGTTTATTAAACGTTTTCCTAATTTGCAAATATTATTCTCTGGTGTATCGCAGGGTAGAATACAAGTTTTACAACACAGATGACTAAATGGTAGTAAAAAATACGCGTCCCTATACTTCACACAATTACCAAGTATTTTATATCAACTATATCTTACCGAGCAAATTAAACATCACCATGCCGAAAACCTTTTCTAAATCTAAACGTCTAGTCTTTAATCCATTCTCTTAATTTCTTTAAAAATCTATCTTTCTATCAAGTTCTGAAGATGAGTTATGATCTCAAGAATGAGATGGGAGTAAAAGGAGAAAGCCATTAATTATCCGCTTCTTCAACGACATTGTTACCGGAAAAATCCCACGGCCGTCAATTCCAGATGATAGCCCACGCTTCTTCAACGAAATTGTTCAGCTTTTTTCCTTTTTAAATTTTAAAAGAGTAGTCTTTTGCTCAAAAAGTTACCGGTTGACTAGAACCTCAGATCAATTTGACCTATAGATTTTGAATTGTTAGAGAATTATGTATATTCGATTAATATTAGAAGATATGATGCTTAATAATTTGGATTGCAAAATAATAATAAGAGAAACGCCACATCCATGTTTTTGAGCGTACGTACAGAATTAGCCCTAACATGGTTGGAATTAATATTATCTACACATAATAAATTGTGATTTACTATAGCATAGTAGTATATAAATAACGTTCATTAAAGATGATGTTCACAGCATATATAAATAACGTTCATTAAAGATAATTTTCAGAAAATTTAAAACATTACATACAAAAAGGATTACATATAAAAAGAAACTTTTCTTAAGGCCTATCATATGATCTCAATCTCGCAAGGAGCGACTCTACCTTGTGTTCGTTGTAGTGTTTAAGACCTTGAAGAAATGCGGATAACAATGCCACTAGTATCAAAGGATACGTTTTTGTGATATGCATTGCAGCTTCGAGGGCTGTGGCCAAAAGACAATCAAAAAAACCAAAATTCTCAAATCCCCCAATGAGATTTGAGAGCGGAAGCAAATGCAAACAACATATAAATAATACAATCACTGAAGCTGCGTCGGTAGTGTAGTTAGAAATCGCAAAGCAGATAACCACAAACGCAGAATCAAAAATCCACCTAATAAATCTAGGGAATTTTCTGGGTTTGAGGTTACGTCGTAAATAAAAACAAAATAGAAAAGCTAGGTAAAAGAAACTAGCTCCTGTGAGTATGAAGTAGGGAAGATGGTTTTCTTTAGTTTTAATATTTTTTGGTTTGTTTTTTAATTTGTTTTTTGAGAATAAATTGAGAAGGGTCCAGACCAATCTCACTAATTCAGGCAAAAGGTGGTTGGTCTTATGGGTAATCCCTAGAATGACCACGGCAAGAATAAATGAAGACGCGCTGAGCGCAAACCAAAGCATTCGCTGCTTATTGGTCATCCGAGTCAATGATCCATCGCCGTTACCGCGGGTCTGCATAGTCTACAAGACACCACAAAAAGAAGCTGTTAGCATGTCTTTCATTTGAAAAATAAAGGGGATGTTGACATCCATCTGGAAGCAAACATAATAAAGGGGCAATTTCACTCTCTAGCTGTATGCATGTATGTGTACATATAGACGAAAGACGATCTACCCACAAAACTATTCTAGCTTAGAAGGTTAGTTAAAACTGAGATCAGAGGTCCCAGAACTCACAGATTTACTATATGTCGGCCTACACGTAAAGAAGCAAAGATTGACTAACAATAACAAGAAATTGAATAAAAAAGAGAAAAGAGAAGGAGACCGGAGATGGTGGTGGCCGGGTTTTGTCAAAAATATTTTTCTGGCAGTATGTAGTGACCGGTTTTAGTCTAAAATACTCCGGCAGGGATTCAGCATTCAACAAATCACGTATACATCACATTAGCAAATCAATATACTATTAGAAAAAAATTATGAAAACCCAAACAAACAAGCAAATCAAAAATTGGAACGTAGAAGCTGTAAGGCATAAAAAATATAAAAAAAATGCCTATGATTCAGAGAGTAGTACTCTCGGACCGCACAGAGAGATGGAGAGCTACTTTGTTCCGGACCGCCGTACATATGTATATCATATTGCTTCATGAATAAAGGGGCAATTTCACTCTCTATATGTATGTGTATACATAGACGAAAGACAATCTAGCTACAAATTAAAACTAGTCTAACCCGGCCAGAAGGTCGTAAGTTAAAAATGAGAGGTCCCAGAACTCTCAGATTTACTATATGTCGTCGTTCTACACGTAAAGAAGCAAAGATTGACTAACAATAACAAGAAAATGAATAAAAAGAGAGAAAAGAGGAGGAGATCGGAGATGGTGGTGGCCGGGTTTTGTCAAAAATATTTTTCTGGCAGTGACCCCCGGTTTTAGTCTAAAATACTCGATCGTATTACTTTTCCTGGCAGTGAACGGCCGGCAGGGATTCAGCATTCAACAAACCACGTATACATCACATTAGCAAATCAATACGGAGTATAATATTAGAATTTTTTTATGAAAATCCAGACAAATAAGCAAATCAAAAATTGAAACATAGAAACTGCTGTAAGGGATATTATAATAAAAAAGAAATGCCTCTGATTCGGAGAGTAGTCTCGGACCGCACAGAGGGATGGAGAGCTACTTTGTTCCGGACCGTACATATGTATATCATATTGCTTCATGAATAACAGAAAAGAAGAGTTAAGGAGGTCAGAGGGAATACCTGAAGCGCGCGTGAAGGTGAAAAGGGCAAGGGACGAATGGGGTGAAGCTAGCGTAGTAGGCAGTGTAGGCCGAAAGGTGGAATCGGCCGGCGCACCAGAACTCCAGAAGGACGGCAGGCGTCCAAGCGTAGCTAGCGCAGCTGATCGAACGGCCCTCTTCCGCCGCAGGCTGAACACGTACGTATATAGCTGAAAGGAAATGATTATCAAGCCTTGCTTCTGCTACGCATATGAGGCCATTTATATAAGTATCGTGGGGTGTGTGGCAAATCATATCGTACGGGCTGGCTGAATAGGACAAGCTGGCCGTTACGGACCTCAGGTGACCCTTTGCTCCCGAAGTTGGTTGGCGTCCGCGCGTGTTAATTACTCCTTATCTATTACGGAGTATAATCTAAAATGGGCTTATATGTATGGGCTTATATGTATGTGTCTAAGTAAAATGTTTTACTTAGACTCCTTTTCGTTCAGACTTAAACAAATCAGGTTTAAATATATGAGACCAGATAGCAATTTTACAAGAATGTGTCCTCTTGCAATGCTTATAATAGTAACTATGATCATTGCAACTTATATTTTTTACCCTTTTTGACCATAACATTATATAATAATAACTATGAATTAATCATATTTTTGTACATAAGTTGAAAAAACTCTTCATTTAATAATCGAAGATTCTATGAAATTTTAATCTACTTTCAGATATATTCTTTGCCACCGTGGTGGGAAGTAATGGACTTGGTCATCTACGAAATTAAATCTCTATATTAAATTACTCCGTATTTGTAATTTGTTTGATTGAGGATGTTTTTACTCTAATTGCTATCAGTTCCACACCAGACTAGACCGAACTTAAACAAATTAGATTACATTAGAACAATTCAGACCAAATCAGATTAGATCAGACCAAACTTTCGTAGTTATCAAATACGCTGAGACCAAACATTTACCAGACCATACCATATCAACAAATTTCAGTCCAAATAAAAACATCCCGAATAAAGTTATTGTTACGGAGTATCATGTAATGTAGTTTGGCTATAAAAAAAATGTTACTTAGTACTCCGTAATATAAAGTCTAAAATAAGGAAATCCCAAAGTATGTGACATGATAGCTTTCCCAACCATTCCAGAAAATGAACATTCTTAATTGAGCAAGTTTGGAGAATCATTGCGTGACCTTGGAAAATTAATGCCTTGGATAGAAATTGCATATATATAGTTCCCAAATCCGATTACCAGCCACGATTTCAACTTGTATTTTAGTATTGTATTTTAATATTGCGTGTTAATATTTTCACCTTGTTATTTACTAACATAAATTTTGTTTTATATTAACAATGAGTATAGTGTTTAGAATAAATTTGCATAATGGTTAAAAGAAATGAACATGCATAAATAAATATTTGAGCACATCGGAGAATTTAAATGAACATAAAAAATGAGAAAAAACTAGAGAATTGAAATGAACTACACAAACGAAAATTTAGCATACCGTAAGTGCAATTCCATTTCTGAATATGTTGGTGACTTTATAAGTTATGCTGATATGACATTTACGTACAGTTGAATATTTGAACATATATATAGAAATTTTAAATGAGTTTATTTTTTAATTTTTTTTGCTCATTTCGTAAGTTATGTATGTATGTTCATTTGATATTGTTATAAAGTTCATTTTAAAATGTCATCGCGATGCATATTTCAAAGGTTCTTTTTTTAATTTTTTTTATCCGAGGAGGGGATTTGGGAGAGGGGGGGCTTGAGGCCTAGGGTAAACTGGTATCAAACTCACTACATACATTAAGTACTGAACATGACATCTCCGGTAAGGTAGAGTGAATGATATTACTAGTTCATTATATTGTAGATATGAAGCAGATATCACAATGCTCCTTATTAGACTCTAAAATTACATTAATTAATAATCGTTTGAAAATAACAACAATTTTCAAATTAATGCTTGAAGATAACTGCGATTTTTGCGTTCTCGAATTAATTTGAATGCGCTCGCGATTAAATTTTTAGCCGAAATTTGGTATGAGTAAACTACACTTGATGAATGAGATGCTCAAAAATTTTCATAAAAAAAAACCACCGAGAACCGCCCCAAATCGCGACAACCGGACAGAGTTCGAGGACCTATTTGACAGTTTTCCCTTTTAATTATTACATTTTAATTGTAAGTATATTTAGAATTTTATTAAGGGTAATGTTGTCAAACCAATGTATTTTTAGTCCTATGAAACATGTAAGTCCTATTTGTTCATTTTTTTCATTGTTTTAGTCCTATTAAGGGAATTAACTCTTTGTTTAATTGAGCATGTTTTTACTTGGATTACTATCAGTTTCACACCAGACTAGACCGGACTTAAATAGATTAGATTACATTAGAACAATTCAGACCAAACTAGATTAGATCAGACCAATTCAGACCAGTTCAGACCAAACTTTCGTAGTTATAAAATACACTGAGACCATACATTTATCAGACCAGACCACATCAGCAATTTCCGTCCAAACAAAAACATCCTGAATAAAGTTATTGTTACGGAGTATCATGTTATGTACGTAGTTTGGCTATAAAAAAATTGTTACGGAGTACTCCGTAATATAAATTTAATTGATAGCTTTCCCAACCATTCCAGAAAATGAACATCCTTAATTGAGCAAGTTTGTAGAATCATTGTGTGACCTTGGAAATTAAAACTAATGCCTTGGAGAGAAATTGCATATATTAATATATATAGTTCCCAAATCCGATTACCAGCCACGATTTCAGCTTGTATTTTAGTATAGTATTTTAATATTGTGTTACTCTGTAATACTTCCACCTTGTTATTTACTAACATAAATTTTGTGTTATGTTAACAATGAGTATAGTGTTTAGAATAAATTTACATACTGGTTAAAAGAAATGAACATAGATAAATAATTATTGGGTCGTTAATTATTAAAATAGGATTAAAAGTCACTCATTTCTCACAAATAGGACCAAAAAATAAACTATGTTCTTATAGGAATAATTATGTGTGTCTTGGACAAATATACCCTTATAGCTATTGAAATGTTTTAATTCATAATAAAATAATAAAAAAATAACAAAAATTCGTAAAAAATACTAAAAAATTAATAAAAATATTTCGATAATAATAATTTATTTTTTTATTTTTTTTAAAAAAAAATAAAAATAATTTTAAAAAAAAAACTCAAAACAATTAAATAAAATTCACCGCCGCCTCTGCACCACCACCTCCAGTTACCAGGGGAAAAAATGTCAAGTTCATTACGAATGTCATATTTATGGTAGAAAACAATGAAAATGTTGGCATTTTCAAAGAGAAATATGCCATGTTTTTGCCATTTTCTGAAAAAAAAATTACAGTTTTTAGGACAAATGACATTTTTTTCACCGGCCGGAGATGGTGGTGCAGGGAGGTAGTACAGGCGGTGGGAAAGGCATCCAATTTTTTTTTAGTTTTTTAATGGAGTTTTACTATTTTATTTTTTAAAAAAAAAACTAAAAATTTAAAAACGATTTTTTTTAATTTTTTATTTTATTAATATTTTATAAATTTTTTAATTATTTTTCTACGAATTTTTGAATTTTTTTCGAATTTATTATAAATTAAACATTTAATTAACTTATATTTAAAGGAAGGGTAAGAATGGAATGAAACAATAGGTATGTTTCCAATAGGACTAATATGATCCTATTTTGTAAAGAAAAACATAGTAAGTCCTATTTTGAGTTTTTGCCATAGTTTTAGTCTTATTTGGAGTAATTTCTAATAAATATTTGAGCATATTAGAGAATTTAAATAAGCTACACAAATGAAAATTGAGCCTACCGTAAGTGCAATTCCATTGCCCAATATGTTGGTGACTTTTTACGTTATGCTGATATGAACACTTACAGTTGACAATTTGAGCATATAGAAATTTCAAATGTGTTTTTTTTTTTTTTGAATTTTTTGTTCAAATGAAAATTGAGCCTACCGTAAGTTATTATGTATGTTCTTTTTATATTGTTATAAAGTTCATTTTAAATTGTTATCATGATGCATATTTCAAAGGTTTTTTTTAATCTTTTTATCCGAGGAGGGGGTCTGGGAGAGGGGGGTTGAGGCCTAAGGTAAACTCGGATCAAACTCACTACATTAAGTATTGAACACGACATCTCCTATAAGGTAGAGTGAATGATAATACAAGTTCATTATATTGTAGATATGAAACAGATATCACAATGCCCGTTATTATGCTGATATGAACACTTACAGTTGAATATTTGAGCATATAGAAATTTCAAATGTGTTTTTTTTTTTTTGAATTTTTTGCTCATTTCGTAAGTTATTATGTTTGTAAGTTGTAACTTAATACTACGTATGTTACAAATACTAGTTAAATATTGATGGTAGTGTGTAATTTGAATGTGCAATTTCAAGTTTTGTACAATGTGTCAAATTGCTAATCCAATTTGAGCCGGCATTGAGGAGACTCTTTGTAGGACTTGCATGGTAAAAGTTCTGATCTGAAACAAATAAACCTATGTTATAAGAATCGGGCTGGATCAGACAGTTCATCTCTGAAATTGGCGACCTGGCATCCAAACCGGTCCGGTTGCTAGTAATAACTAGTATTGTACCCGTGCGATGCACGGAACAAAAGTAATATTTGTACTTCATTTGTGATATATATATGTACGGAGTATTAAAATATCTATGTAAGATGTGTTTATTCTAATAAGATTGAATTAATCGTATGATATAATAAATAGAGACATTAATAAGTTGTTAGACAAAGAGCATGTATGATAACATTGAAATTGGCTAAATTGGTTGATTGTGCTGAAATATTATGAAGTTTTGGCTGAAGTGGATGGATTGATTGATTCTGTTGATTTATGAAAAAAATTATACGCATAATACTTTTATCAATAAAATAAGAAAAAAAATATATGAAAAATAGATAAAACGATCATCTTCAGTAACTTCAGCTAATACAACCACAAAAGTATTTTGAACCTTATTTTCTCACATGATTACACAATTGAACGCATGAAATCTAAATTAATGTATTTGATAAAAAAAATCACTTATGAACTTGATAAGTCAAAAAATAGAGTCATTTAACATACTCGAAATTATTATGGAGTACAATACAAAGGGAATTACATGTTCTTAAAATCAATATAAAATACAAATAAATTTTAATCGTACATCATATTATAATGATAATGAATCCTAATCAAATGACTATTACTCTGTAGTTTTTTAATATTTTAGGCACATGAATTGCTACTAGTGCTAATTTGCTTTTATGTTGCTTTTATTTTCTTTAAATAATATTTAAATTTATTTTTACGTTTTCAGTATGCTAACTTATGTATTATCGTATTTGTTTTATAAAGTTAGTACATGAAAGTAATTATATATATTACTTTCTTTTTTAGCCCATACATATACAGAGTATATAATTAAGCAAGTAAAATAAACAATCACTAATCTACATGTAAATCTGATTTTTTGGTTATTTAAATTCATGGCTAAGACTTTTGATGTTATGTAGGTTCACCCATAGATTAGACATAATCCTAAATAAAACAAATAACCTATTCTGCTATTAACTACTCCTATTTACATGAAGTGGAGACGCGCGTTTTTTAGAATGAGAAATGGAAGGATGCATCCTCTGACCATTTAATAGTATCACAACTTTTTTCTTCTAAAAACATATCAGCAGTTCTCAGAAATAATGTATTTTAAAAGTACCTGATATATATGCTCTAGGCCTCTTGTTTCCATTGCAGTGCGTCCTCGATCATATTTTCTTGGATTTTCTACCCTAGGCTTCTTTGCTTGCTAGATTCTTTTTCATGAGATCTCCTTTAAGCCGATGTTGTTCAGCCAGTTAGAATTTGAGAACCTCCTCTCCAAAATGAATTGCTCCCTCCAATAAACCCATAACCGTTTAAATCGCTTGTAACCTCCCCACTACTGTAGTTAGATAAACTGGACGTTCCATTACCAAATCATTTATTTACTCTTTTTTTTTTAATTTTGATCTATTCTATAAAATTAATAATGTATGTTATAGACGTTATTTGTTAATAATACTGTATACTAATTTATACATAGTATAATTTATTACACTATTATGTCATTGACCACCGTATGCATTATCTTTATGTCATGCATGTTTTTTTAATCTCCATATTTGTCCTCGTGTGCATCTTTTTATTTCATGGTGCAGGCTAATTGAAGCATTTTTTGTTTGTAGTATTAATAATAATAATATGTGAACTTATTTGTTTCAAGCTAAGGTACCCAGCAGGCCAATAGGGTTGCCCATTTATGTAATAAACCCGTTATAGATAAAAAAGGTGATATAATATTTAATTAGTATATAGGATATGCTGGTTTAATATCAGGTATACTCTCTTTATTACTCCCTCTGGTCTCAAATGAAATTTACACTTTGGATTCACACAAATTAAGGAAACAAATATGACTTTACTGTAAAGTACACTGTTGTGACACTGTTTGACGCTGTTTGATACTGTTTGACACTGTTTTGATGTAGATAATTTGTTAAATAAGAAAGGGAGAAGAAGTGTGAAGTTTATTTTGAACCTACTCAAAAAGGAAAGTGTGAATTTTATTTGAGATCATTCTTAACACTGTTACTTTCAAAATTATTACCATTCCTTTTTATAGGTGCCCAAATTGCGGGACAATCATTTCAAAAAAATTGGGTAGAAGAAGATATTTCAATCTTGACACCATGAGCATTGAATATTGCATGTACTATTCAATGTTGAATGTATTTTCAAACCTTTCGATAAAAAAATGATACTCCTATTTCATGACATGTCAGAAGTGGTATACTGGTATACCCCTATTTTACGTTTTACTATTATTATGATGCGGAGTATAATAATTTGTAAAAATTAAAGTCGAACAGTTATCACAGTTTTAAATACTCCCTCCGTCCCCCAATTAAGTTCCCGGTTTGACTTCACACATATTAAGAAAATAAATTCGACTTTACTGTAGAGTGCACTTTTTTGCACTGTTCAAACACTGTTTGGACACTGTTTGACATTGTTTGACACTGTTTTGCACTGTTTGACACTTTTTTGATGTAGATAATTTGCCAAATAGGAAAAGTAAGAAAGTGTGAACTTAATTTAAGGACTGCCAAAAAAGAAAAGTGGTAACTTAATTGGGGGAAGGAGAGAGTATTAAACAATCAATTAAATCCTATGGATGGCATTTGCCATTCACATATTTTTTATACATCGGACAAAAATTAGTCATTCTCATACGTATATATCAAGATAATGAACAACAAAAAGAATAATAAAGTGATGGTGACATGTACATAATTTTTCCAAAATTTTCACGCGTAATCCACGTTTTAAGATGCTGACATCATGATGACAATAGAGTGACTTATGTGCTAGGCGGGAACAGTTATATGCCTCACGGTTCCATTGTTATATATATATAGATTGGAATGCTGGTGCACCGCCAATTAGTCACTAGAAAAACAAGTCACTAGGGTAACGGTGTAACAATCACTGGAGCGGCGCCGTCACTAACACGCTAAGTCAATGTATCACCAATGTCATTGGTGACAGTTAATCACTGGGTACAATAGTCAACAAGCAGTGATTTTAAAAGGTAAAAAATGTCAATTTTTGAAGCGTTTTATAATTGTTCATATTTTTGTCCTTAAATTATCTTTTAAAATTTTGTCATTATATCCAATCATTCCTCCAAGTTTTATTTTACTTTTCAATTTTTTCTATAATTCAAAAAGATTCAAAACAATAAAAAAATCAAAATGAAAGTACAGGCAGTCTAATTATCCCAAATAAGAGTAATGTATTTTCAAATATTCAGATGTATAGTTTCGTAGTTTCTAAATTGTTAAACATTACGGAGTAATATTTAGGAGAAAAAGACAGAACTTAGATTATCTATCTACTAAACTAATTAAAGTCTCATCATTTGGGAGAACTATCAAATAAGTCCTCGAACTTTCATAAAAAGTGCAAATAAGCTCCTTTACAGGAGGCTTTGTCCGGTTGTCGCCATTTGGAACAGTTTCCGGTGGAAGTTTTTGATGAATTTTTTTTATCATCTTCTTCATTAAATCTAGTTTATCCATACCAAATTTCAGATACAAATTCAATCGAAAAGACAGTCAAATGATTTTCTGAAATATATTGCACTGTCTAACTGCACAATTATCTTCAAAAATCCATTTGACTGCGTTCCAGATTGAATATTTAGCTGAAATTTGGTATGAATAAACTAGACTTAATGAAGAAGATACTAAAAAAATTCATCAAAAAATGACACCGTAAACCGCCCCAAATGGCGACGGCCGGACAGAGCCTCCTATAAAAGGACTTATTTGCACTTTTTATGAAAGTTCGAGGGCTTATTTGATAGTTCTCCACTCATCATTTTAACTTTGTAATAAAAAGGAGTATAAAAAGTTACGGAGTGGTATTAAAGGTTACACAGTATTATTCAAAAACATTACTTTTAATATAGATACTATATTTATCGTGGACCAATGTTCTTGTGGTTTAATGACATCACCGTGACACTCTCAAGGAGGACACACATTCAAAACTCACCTCATTCAATGATGTTGCATTTAACAAAACAGATATAGAAAAAGATACAGTGCAGCAAAAAAAAACTTTAATACTACGTATAATTTTTGATTATAAGTTTTATTTACAAAAAATATTTTGCGATTGATATAGATTAATTTACTAATTAACTTTATAAGCAGTTAAACCCTTAAACCTCATAAATCAAAACGAATTTTTGCGATTGATATAGATTAATTTACTAATTAACTTTATACTCAGTTAAACCCTTAAACATCATAAATTAAAGCTAATTTTTTACCCAAAACGGAGGAAGTAGTAATAAAAGGATAATATCATAACGTATTACTATGCGCACCACCCGGGGGCCCGAGGCTGGGCCTAAATTATTTGTTAATAATGTCACTTGCAGTCCGCAAATTATACAGTGGGATCGGCCCACCTTCCACATGGTGTGCCGATTCTACTTTTAGGAAAGTTACGTTGTTTTCCTTTTCCCACTTCCTTTGTCTCCAACTTTGTTATTTTCTTTTCCTTTGCTTTCCTTTTTTTTTCTATTGTTCAATTCTTTTCCTTTTCCATCAAATTAAAATACTAAAAATTTAATTGCAATCCTACTTTCTTTATCTTCATCTTAAATTATAATTGAATCTATTTTTTATTCTTTATCAATACATAATAATTCATCTAAAAAAATTCTTTATCTTCATGTTCATAATTTTTTTTCTATAATATATTTCTTTATCTCTTTATAAAAAAATATACTCCCTCCGTCCCTAATCTTTCTCCCTTTTCGGTTGGGCACATTTATTAAGATAGTGGGATTTGTGTGGTGGAGAGTTGTGCAGAGGAGAGAGAAATGTGTAAGAATGTGTAAGAATGGTTGTGAACCACAAATTTTTTGCTAAAAGGGGGAAGAGGAGATAATTTTGGGACGGACGAAAAAGGAAAGTTTGAAGATAATTTAGGGACAGAGGGAGTATTTCTTATCTCTTTGATATGTTTTTAGTTTTTTTAAGACATAAAATTTGTTTTTTTCGATTTAAATTTCATAAAACATGAATTATATTACGTTTTTCATATGCGTGAGTTATGTTTATAGCGAATTTATGGAATTACATGTGATATTATATGAAGTTACATCTTTTTATAGGCGAATTACATCTTGTTGTCCATGAGTTACATCTTCTTATACACGAGTTACATTTAGACTTGCCTCAACAAGCTATATTTTGCATACACCTAATTTAGATTTTTTAGCATGAGTTACATGTTTTCATAACACGAGTTACATCACCAAATAAATCCATCCATTGAAACCAAAAAATAATTGTTTTTGCAAACAAAAATGATTTTTTTTGGAAAAAAATGATTTTTCGGTAAAAAAAATTAATATTTGTGGCAAAAAATATTATTTTTCTTTGAAACATTTTTATGGCCTTAATACAAAAAAAAAACATACTAACTATTTACGTTAAAAAAATTAAGCAATTAGACTTCATGTTTTCATTGTTTACATTTGATAGTATATGAAGTTACATCTTCTTATGCGCAGGTTACATCTTTTTATGCGTGAGTTACATCTTCCTTTACACGAGTTACATTTGAACTTACCTTAACAAGTTACATTTTACATTGACCTAAGTTAGATTTTTCATCAACGTGAGTTACATTTTCTATAACATAAGTTACATTGAAACAAAAAAATCATTTTTTGCCAAACAAGGTAAAAAATGATTTCTTTAGCAAAAAAGTGATTTAAAAAAAAAATTAGCAGAACATATTCACTATTTAAGTAAACACATGCTATTGAAACAAAAAAAACGAGTTTTTTGCAAGGGAAAAAAATGGCGGAAAAATTATTTTTTTTGCAAAAAAATGATTTTTTGGCAAAAAAAAACTGATTTTAAGGGAAAAAATTATTTATGGTCTTAATATTAAAAACAAAACATATTCACTATTTACGTAAAGTAATTGAGCAATTAGACTCCTTGTTTCAAGGAAATCAATGTTTTATTTCTTATAGTTCGTATTAGATAATTTACATTTGGACTTGCCTGCAGTTACATTTCTGATCAGCGTGAGTTACATTTCTTTACACGCGAGTTACATTACTCTGCTACTGGACACTGAAAAAACAAAAAATAAGTTACTGTTCACGCGTGAACAATAACACGCGTATTTTTGTCTGTGGGAGCAGCATGCTCACGGTGGACTGCTCCCACGGTATAACAACTGCTTGCAGTCAATATAAATCAAAGGAGAAATAACTCATATAACAAAGTCTCATACATCAGTTGGTATACCGTTGGAGCAGCTCACGGTGAGCATGCTGCTCTCACTGAAAAAAAGCGTGTAACTGTTCACACGCATGAATAGTAACTTCTTTTTTGTTTTTCCATTGTTCCAATAGCGGAATAGGTGTAACTCGCGTGTAGCAAAATGTAACTCACGTTAATAAGAAATATAACAGCAAACAAGTCAAAATGTAATTTGCCTAATGTCTAATACGCATTATAAGAAATAAAACATTGATTTTAATGAAAACAAGGAGTCTAATTGTTCAATTGCTTTACTTAAATACTGTATAGGTTTTTTATAATATTAAGGACATAAAAATGTTTTTTTGCCAAAAAATCATTTTTTTGGCCAAAAACTCATTTTGTTTTTGCAAAAAAAAAAGTGATTTTTTTATTCAATAGCAGAGGTTAACATAAGTGGTGAATATATTTTGTCTTTTATATCAAGTCCAAAAAAATGTTTTTAAAAATATATTTTTTGTCAAAACACATATTTTTTTGGAATTTTTTTTTTACATAACAACGATTCTTTTGTTTCAATAGTAGACTTTATGTTGTTATGTAATTCGTATTACAGAAAATGTAACCCGCGTTGATTGAAAATCTAACTTTAGTGTATGCAAAATGTAACTTGTTGAGGCAAATTCAAATGTAACTCGCGTATAGAAAGATTTAACTCACGCACAAGAAAATGTAAATCGTGTATAAGAAGATGTAACTCCATATAATATCAAATGTAATTATAGAAATTGTGTATAAACATAACTCACACATACGAAAAATGTATAATTCTCATGTTTGTTTTCAAATTTAAATCGCAATAAATGACCTTAATGTCTATAAAACACAAAAAACATATAAAAGAGAAGAAATATATTATAGGAAAAAAGTATATGAATATAAAAAATATTTTACAAAAATGTATAATAAATATAAAAAAAGTATGCAAAGTAAGAAATAGTGTTTTTTTACTCCAGGGTGTCTAGGGGAGGAGGGCTGGGGGGGGGGGGCTGGAATAATCAGAGCTGAAACTCACTCCATTGACACCTCTCACTAGGCACGGTAACCTCACAACCAGCTGAGCTGGAATGCTTGGTTAGTAAGAAATAGTGTATGAATATGAAATACAATATACTTATTTTATGTGGATTAATAAAAGTTTGTATTAGATTGGTAAAGAAAAAAATTAATTCAGTTATAATTTATTTAATTCAAGATAAAGATAAGTAAAAAATCAAGATATAACTCATACATAATTACATGTAACTCGCGCATAAGAAGATGTAAATCACGCATAACATGATGTGCCTCATGCATAATAACATGTAACTCGAGTATAAGATGATGTAACTCCAATCTAGAATCAAATTAAACAAACTCAATATCTTAAAAACCTCTAAAAACATATAAAAGTGACAAAAAATATATTATAGAAAAAGTGTATGCATATAAAATATATTACAAAAAATGTATGAATGTAAAAAAGATATTACAAAAAATAGTGTATGAATATGAAATGTACTTATTTTATTTAGATTATTAATTTTTTTGTTATGTATTGATAAAGAATTAAAAAATAGATTCAATTATAATTTAAATTTAAGATAAGGAAAAGTAAAAGTACAATTAAATTTTTAATATTTTCTTGGTTGAGCACTTTTCTCTCCATTTTTGAAGGATCCAAAACTCCCAACTATTTTTTAATTCCTTTGATGTTAATAATTTAATACTCCCTCCGTCCCATTAGACTTTGCCAACTTTCTCTTTTTGATTGTCTCAAAAAACTTTGTCATTTTTCTATTAAAGTAACTAATATTTGGTTCTGCACATTTCTCTCTCCTCGGCACAAATCTCAACCACGGAATTTTTACTATTTTTATATATCACCTATTTTGCACTTGGCAAAGTCCACCGGGAAGGATGTAGTATATTAATAGAATGAGACCTACTGGAGTACTTAAACATCATAAATCAAAACGAATTTTTTACCCAAAACGGAGGAAGTAGTAAAAGGATAATATCATAACGTATTTGTTTAAAATGTCACTTGCAGTCAATATAAATCAAAGGAGAAATAACTCATGGAACAAAGTCCCCCACATTACCATTTGCAACAAATAACGGCAATAAGCATAGCAAACAGAAGTCCACAACTACATGTATATCCTAATAAACAAGCTAAGTACTCCTACGACCATGCATATTATTCTCCTACACTTACATATCCATCATCTGGGGTATAGCGACAATAACATAATCCCACTTCAAAAAGTATAAATAATAGGGCCGATATGACATCCCATACATAGAAGTCGTCTGCAGCCGCTAAGAAATTGATGACCGTCAAGACATGAAAGCACGCTACAAACCCCAACAATGTCTCAAAGTAGCTCTCCACGCAGAGTGCCAACACCAAGCAAATGCAAACCAAGAAAAGCTGAGCGCGCAATCTCACATGAAGTTGCAGTGGAGCAATATCCCAACCGAACCCCAAAAGTAGCAGAAAGGGCACATACAATAAAATGCACAGTAGAGGGATAGCAATTGGAGGTAGTATGAAACCACTTAGCTGGAGGATAATCCAATCTTTAAACTTGAATGAGCCTGTTGGTTCTATGAAATAGCCAAACACATAAGTCAAGGACCCCAATGCCAAGACCAGCCAAGCTGCTCGAGTTTTGCGAAGTTTGGGTGGATGACGTGGCTGCATTGTCAAAAAAAATGTTTATTTTCATCAAGTGCAATTTTGCCATTTAGAAAGACATCAAAATAAATGAGGAAACAATCACAGAAGAAACACGCGCATAAAAACGCTATCTTGCACGGAAAAAAGCAAATCATGAGTAACCAGGAAGCAAGAAACAACAATTTTTGCTCAAGGTGACAAGGAAATAAGCATAGCCAGCCGACCCCCATATCACCTAGCTAGGCGACAAGGTGACAATTGGGCGAATAGTCACACATTACATAAATTTATAATATATTATATATAATTATATACATAATTATATATATAATATTGTATCTAACTATATGTAATTTGTAACTTATTATATATCATAAGTGCTTATTAGTTTACTGTATTATTCAATGTAATCCAAACAGATTAATATTCTAATACTAATAAACTGCAATAAAAAATATGTTTATAGAACACAACAAAGAAGAACATACTTATTTATACAAAGATATGCTATATATATTACAACAACAACAATCAAACCTTAATACCAAAAGATTTTGGGGACGGCTAACATAAATCGATTCATGATATCGATGTCAAAAAGAGAAGACAAACAAGAAGAAGAAGAAGAAAAAGTAAGAAAAACGGACAAGATAAAGATAAATAAATATAAGATAACAATAACATAAGAATATAAGAAAGATAAAAGATAAAAAGATAAAAGAACATAAAAAGCTAGAAGATAAAAATAGCATAAGAACATAAAAAGATAAATAAGATAAACAATAAAAGAAAAAGAGAAAGAAAAGATAGAAAAAAGATCAATCATTTACATGAATGTACACCCCTCACTTTGCTCTCTCCAAAGCAACACTCTCATTCAATCCAAGAAGACGCATATCAGTTGTGATTCCTCTAATCCAAGTCTATTTGGGTCTTCCACTCCCTCTCCTCTATATCTCTTCTCCTCATCCCACAAATCATCTAACAGGTGCATCACTTGATTATCTACGCTCATGCTCAAACCACCCCAAACGAGACTCATGCATCTTATATTCTATACGTGTTACTCCCACCTTTTGTCTGATTATCTCATTCCTCAAGCGGTCTTTTCTGGGATAATGATTGAGTTTATGAAAGGTCAAATAAGATTTGGGCTTTATTTCATAACTCCTGATTAAGTTGGTTGTCTAAAATTTATTTCCAACAACTACATTCGGGCCTTTGTTTTGGCTTCGAAATATTATTCTACGACTTCTTGTTTGGCGAACGCCTTGTAGCCAAACCGACGACACGATGATGACAGGAGGACACCATGGTAGCCTATTCTTCTTCCGATGAGGCGATGCTCTTGGCAACCTCTCCCCGGTGACTGGACGCCTAGTCGGCGCCTAGACGACGCTGTAAAAAGTATGGTTTTAGGTATAAAAATGCAATACTATGCAATACATTTTTCGCATGTTGAACGTCAATTTATTTACTAAGAGGGGTGTATTGAATATGGATTGTGGTGGATTTTTTTTAATCCGTGGACTTTTAAAAGAGTCAATGGACTTTTAAATCCATAGACTTTTTTATGAATGAATTCTATGGACTTTTAAATCCATGGATAAGTTTATTGACTTTCAAAAAGTCCATAGACTTTTAAATGCGAACCACCACTGCTGGTCGTCGAAATTTTCACCTAGACCGCCACTACCGATATGCTCGTCCGCCTCCATCACTTGAGTTCCCCGCTGTCGTCATCGGACTGATCCGCCACCAACAAAGTCGATTTGGTTATGCAAGGGAATTATGGACAATTACTTATATTAATTAATTAAATTAGGGGTGAATATGTAATATTTAGTCCTATTTAAGGAAAATCAAACACATGATCATACTTTAAGAAGAATGCTACTCCGTATGTTTTAGTCCTACCCTGAATAATTTCCTCTGTATAATACAGAGTATGATAAGAAACAAACAAAAAAACAAATAAATAAATAAATAAATGAAACAAATGTAATTCATATAGCAACACAAAGTTCTACAAGAATAAATGAAGCATAAAAATCCAAATTTATTTTTATTAAAAAAACGCAAAGTTTCAAGAATGCTCAAGAATTTTGGTCATTTTTATTAATGAGTAAGAATATCAATCGTTACACAACTGTTACACTCATTGCTACATGTGGTACAAGCACAGTTGCAATCGAGTTTATTTTCTTAATAATTGTTTTCTTTTCATTTCTATCTTGTAAAATTTTGTGTACTTATTTACGGTTATATATTTCTTAATTTGAAATTATATTTTTATGTGTTAACGATTTAACGATGAAAGAAAGTAATAGTTAAAATATTTATTTTCTTAATGGTTAAGTGACGACGTACCAGAATTGCACTGATGTAATATTATCGATTCTTATACCAGTTATTCTAGAAACTTCTAGAATTAAACCAGTATGGGATTAACGAATCGAGGGGGGTGAGGTAACTTGGCTAAAGAAGAAGAGAGTTGGCGGGGTGGAGCGAGCTAGGCTGAAGAAGAAGAAAGATCGAAGGGGAAGGGGTAACTTGGCTAAAGAAGAAGAGAGTTGGCGGGGTGGGGTGGGGGGACGGGATGAAGAACCAATATAAGAAAAATCCACAGAAATCTTTAGTGAGGAGAAGAGACAATCGAAGAGAATTAATGTACTAAAAATGAATTAAAAGTCCACGAGAATCTATGATTTTAGAAATCCATAAGAATGAACGGAACTTTGAATATGCCTAGACTTTTATAGACTTTTAAAAGTCTACATTGAATACACCTAGATTTTTGTAGACTTTTAAAAGTCCACATTGAATACACCTAAACTTTTAAAATCCATGGACTTTTAAAATGTTGCCACTAATTCCTAATACAATACACCCCCTAAAACTCCACCACATTTCTTGCGTTTGGTATTCATTTCATCCCTCTGTTTTTATACAAACCAATATATATATTATAACGCTTTAAGGACATACGTGAGGGTCTGGCAGAAGTGCAAGAACCAAATATAAGGCGTGGTTAATTTTGATCTTAGCTTTCAAAATAACTCGTTTCAGCATCTTGGTACCCTGAAAATCAAATAACATACGTTAAAAGCTGCATCCTTCGCAACAAAAATACAAAAAAGTGCCTATTGATGGTGTCAAACTAGAACAACTGGACTATGCTACAAACTATAACTACGTATAATTTGGTAGAGCTTATAGCTTACTGTAATCATTTGCACATAGCTTAGTGTCCAATACGAGATTTTCATGAAACCATAGTGTCCAATTTGAGCCTTATCCTTACATAATAATAAGTTAAGTCGTCAACACTTTAAATATTTAACAAAACGTCATTTAAGTTGTCCACGCGACTTCAAAGTATAAAATTATCAATAATAGAATCTACATCTAAAGGTTCAGAATGATGAAATCAACTTCTTTCCCTTCTTGGCAATGTGTTCATTATCCATTCTAAAAAACATTTTCAATATTGGTATAAATTAAAATACTTATACAAAAAAATATAACTAATACGGAAAATCAATGGGTGTACATAAAACTAATAAGAATTCCCAATTTTCAATTGTATAATAACTAAATCATTTTCTACTATTTTTTTCTATCTTTAATCATTATAAATTTATAATGAATAACACTATTGAGCAATTATGTACTGAAAAATTCAATTAAAAATCAAAATGATAACCTAGTCCTAAAACTCTAAATCAGGGAATAACACATTCAATTAACAATCACGGCATAACAAATTTAATTCACAATTAACTCTTCAAATCACAATTCTACTCTTCAATTAACACATTTAATTAAACAATCACGGCACAATTCTACTCTTCAATTCACAATTAAACAATTCAGTTAATAATCAAAGAAATTGAAAATCAAAAAAGATTTGTATATACCTGGTCGGCTGGTCCGGCTGGTCGAGTGATGAGGGAGGCAGACTGGCGGAGGGCCGGAGGGGGCTGCTGTTCAGTTCCGTCGACTCGCAGAGTGCACACTGCGGAGGCTGGAGGAAGACGCACAGGGCTGATGTACTTGAGGGCAGGGGTGGGCTTCAGCCCAGCCCAATATATTTTTTAGTTAGTTTAGGTATATGTTAAATTACTCAGCCCATTGCAAAACTAATCCTAGCCCATCCCAAATTAGTTCCCAGCCCATGAGCCCAGCTGGCCAGCACGAAATTCCCAACCCAGCACTCTTCATCTGATCAGAATGTTTCTGATCTGAATTTTTTAAGATCTGATCTTATTTGATCTGTATTTTTCTAATCTGAGTTGATCTGAATATTTCTGATTTAACAATAATAACAATAATAACAATAATAACAATAATAACAACAATAATAACAATAACAACAAGAATATTAACAATAATAACAACAATAATAACAATAACAACAAGAATATTAACAATAATAACAATAATATTAACAATAATAACAACAATAATAACAATAATAACAAGAATAATAACAATAATAACAATAATAACAATAATAACAATAATAATAACAATAATAACAATCATAATAACAATAATAATCATAATAATCATAATAATCATAATAATCATAATAATCATAATAATCATAATAATCATAATAATCATAGTAATCATAATAATCATAGTAATAGTAATCATAGTAATAGTAATCATAGTAATAGTAATAATAATAATAATAATAATAATAGTAATAGTAATAGTAATAATAATAATAATAATAATAATAATGATAATGATGATAATGATAATGATAATGATAATGATAATGATAATGATAATGATAATGATAATGATAATGATAATGATAATGATAATGATAATGATAATGATAATGATAATGATAATGATAATGATAATGATAATGATAATGATAATGATAATGATAATGATAATAATAATAATAATAATAATAATAATAATAATAAGTGAGATATCCATTCCGTAAGAGATCGGCGACCTCTTTCCTTAAAGTGACACAGTCATCGGTGTTATGACCGATGTCGTCATGGAAGTCACACCTCTTGCTGGGATCTCGTCGCCCTCCTGACTTGTCAGACTTCTTGGGCCAACGGACTCTTTCCCCTAACTTGTTCAAAGAGTTAATGAGTCCTGCAGTGTCGACGCTGAAACAATATTCCGCTATTGGCGGTGGCAGGTCATGATTGTCAAGCCAGCTTGTTACTGATGTCACTTGTCGATCTTCGCTTTTTGTGTACGGCTTCCCCGCTCGGTACTCATGCCTTTTGGACGAACTTGCTTTCCAGTGTCCTCCTTTACACCCCTCGGGCCGTTGACGAGGCTGCTGGTCTTCCTAAAGTCGGATGAACACCAGAGTTTTGGCTTGAACATCTTCGAAAGTCCTGCAGGGATACTTGGTCAATTCTATGTAGAGTTGTGAATCTTCTAACAATCCTCTTCTGAACACCTCTGCTGCTGTCGACATGTCGCATCTTGGAATCGACACTTTTTCTCTGTTGAATCTATGAAGATAGTCTCTTAAGATCTCGTTTCGCTTCTGAACCACTCGATACAAGTCGCTTGTTTGCTTTTCCAGAACTCGACTACTTGCGAACTGTTGATTAAAGATGTTAACGAGCTCCTCAAAAGAATGGATGGCTTCGTTTGGTAGATTAACGAACCACTTCAAGGGTGGTCCCGTCAATGTTGTTCCGAATGCTCTGCACATGTTCCACTCTGACGCCGCTGGCCCATCATCCGCCGCCGTCGTGTCATCTGCCGCCGCCGCCACCGCCGCATCATCCGCCGCCGCCGCCGGTGGCTCTACCACCTGTCGCCACTGCCGCGTCACCCGCCGCTGTTGCATCATCCGCCACAGCCGCCAGTGGCTCTACCACCTGTCGCCGCCGCACATTTCATGTCTGACGCCACCTCTTCCACCTTGGCCGTCGCCTCTAACGCCACCATTGTCACCTCTGTCAGATTCTGTCACCATCAGGAGCTGCCGCCACAAGGTGCCTCCGTCACCACCAGACAGTGCCACCACAAGGGGCATCCGTCACCATCTCCGCAGCTGCCTTCAAACTAGCTCTACCACCAACTTGGCTCCTGCAATGAAAATAATATACTCCTATTTTATATAAGCAAAAACATGGCATTAGTAGCCATATTGATGGAATTAGTGTTATGAAAATGGCATTAAATGTCAAAAATAATATGGTCACATTGAAAAACAGGAAAATATGACATTGTAACATATTTAATTTCATATGAATGACACTATAGGTGAAAATAATATACTACTATTTTATATAAGAAAAAACATGACATTAGTAGTCATTTTGATGGAATTAGTGTTATAAAAATGACATTAAATGTCAAAAATAATATGGTCACATAGAAAAACAGAAAAATATGGAATAATAATATTGCTTTTCCAAAGAAGTAATATTTCCATTTTAATGCCATAAAAACTTGCAGTTATGAAAATTAAATTTAAATATAAAAATTTATTTGAAAAGGTACAAAAATTTAATTGACATGATCGAATGAAAAAAATATTATCTTATTATAAAAGATAAAATAAAAAATCAAAAGAACAAGAAAGCAAGAGAAAAATCTTGATAAGTTCAATTCGGATCTGAAATGGAGAACAAAGTACACCAAAAATCAATTTAAAAGTTAGGTCATAATTAAGTCATAATAGTATATAGAAGCTTCACATTGCAAAAAAAAGAAAATAGAGGCTCTGCCTCAGAGTGAAGGAAACGAAGGGATAGGGGAAGAAAAGAAGAAAAAGGAAAAGAAAAAGGAGGAGGAGGAGGAGGAGGAGGAGGAGAAGAAGAAGATTTACTTACCTAAATCGCTGTTGTCCGCCAATGGATGAAGTTGGGGAGAAAAAATCCTAGTCCAAACCTATATTATGCCATGGAGATGGAGAAATCAAAGAGACCTGGAGATGGAGAAATCGAAGAAATCTGGAGATGGAAAAATTGAAGAGATCTGGAGATGGGTGAGTGATGGTCTGATGGAGAAGAAAAGCTAGAGGAGATAAAGGAAACGTGAGATTGAAATGTGGTACAGGTAATCTGACAAAATAAATGATTGAAGTTGAAGCTAGCTGTAATGTGGGGGTACTATGGGAATTAGGTACGGTCCGGTCAATTTAAAACTCCTATATCGGGAATAATTCAAGAAGGAGTCCTATTTTGAAACTTTTTTATTGTTTTGGTACTATTTAGATCAATAACTTTTTTGTATACTTTATGTTTGTTTCTAGCTCTAACTTACAAATTGTCTTTTTAAAATTGTTTCCTTAGGATTTGAGTTTTTAATAATTTATTTGATTATGAATGATGAATTTGTTAATGATAGTTTAACAATGTTCACTAAGAGTTTTTGTTAGCAATAATTTTTTATCTCTTAACGATGAGTTTATATTGTCAAATTCAGTTGACTTATAAGCGTAATGCATTTGATTTTTGTAATAATACTGTTGGGATATTGACCTAGAGGCCCAATACCCAGATCGGGAAGGCCCAAGATATCCGCCCCAAGCAACGGGCCCATCACTCTATGATGAATAGATCCAGTAAGAAGAGATACCGAACGGAGCTCGGCCCAAATAAAGGTTGGCCCAGTCAGGTGACATACCGAACGGAGTTCAGACTATATATCATACTTGGGCCAATTTTACAGCATCTTCAGTACAACCCGACATCCCGTTCGAGCAACGGCCAATCAGCAAGTGGCCAGGTGCAATTAATGCCAGACTATGACATCAGCAAGTGGAAGCATGGATGACCAAGTCGGTGGAACAACGGCCAATCAGCAAGAGGCAGCCCATGCTCTCCATTAGTATAAATAGAAGGTTTCAAGTCATTGTAAGGTTTTAGCATTTCAATACTCAAGCTCTAGAATAGCATCATTTGCTCTTATTTCTTGTATTAAAGCATAGTTTCCGACATACCGATCGGGAAATTCCTTGTAATCAGATTGGTTAATTAATACAAGTTAGCTTTCGAGTTTTAGTTAGTTCAGATCTTATATTTTTTACACGCTTTGATTCTGGGCCATTCCTGATATATCCAAAGTTCGTGTTGGGCTTTCGGATCTACGGGACTTACCCTCAACATTGGCGCCGTCTGTGGGAACCTTGCAAAAAGTTCCACTTTCTAATCATCCAAAAAACCTCTATTTTTCAAAAATGGTCAGAATCAGTTCCTATCATACAAGCGACGGTTCACGCCGTCATGGGAGGAGTCACACCCCGGGGAGTCAAAACCCTCAGGGACAATCCAGTCGAGGACCGAATCCTCGTTTCGATGGGGATTTTGTGATTCCTGAATCTCTGAGAAGAAATCCTCAGGCCATGGGGGACATGGCCCAGGTCATGCAGCATATGGCGAACGAAGAGGAAGCAAGTTCCAGCTTTACAGGGGAGACCCCACGCACGGAAACAACCGCGGCGTCATCCCGTTCACATGTCCATCGGGATAATCGACGTAGAGCCCCACCAACAGCGCACCACAGTCCCAGTGACCGAACCCCGGTCGGGTCACAAGCTAGAGGACCAACTCCCGTTGGTCATCATTTCCAGTATGCCGAGCGGGAAAATACTAGGGCCCCTCAGCGGCATTGGGACCGGGACTGTACGGATATGAGGGCTCCACCACCGCCCCTTTGACGGCCCAGGAGGAAGAGATGGCCGAGATGAGGAGGCAAATGAATGAAATGCGGGACCAGATGAACAGGGTACCTGTACAACCTGCACCAGTTCAGCTGGGAATTACTTCCCCGTTTACTAGGGAGCTCATGTACGCAGATATCCAAGGGGGTGCCAAGCCCCCTACCGGCCAAATTTACGATGGGGTGGGAGATCCCCACGTACATCTGAGGAGTTACCAAGGGGGACTTATGCTGCTAGGAGCACCCGAGGCTGCCATTTGCCGGTTGTTTTTCAGCACGCTCAGGGGGCCTGCCCAGGAGTGGTTCGAGACACTGCAGCCCGGGTCAATCAACAGTTTTGCCGAGTTATCAGCGTTATTCTTGGCTCAGTTTTCTTCCAGTGCTAATCCCAAACGGCACTTCAGCTATT